GGGGGAGGGTTGGGGGTTCTGGGGGGGGCGGGAAGTGGGAGGGGCAGGGGCGGGGCTAGGGCGGGGCTCCTCCCGTCCTCTTTTTTGCTTGTTGAAATATGGTAACCCTAGGGCTGAGTAAGTCTGCTGTGAAAAGTGATACTTGTATGTTTGTTAATATCCCTTTTCACAACAGACTTACTAGCTAGCAGTAAATGAATTACAATGATTTGGACATGTATATGTGCATATTTATTTGTTTTCCCTAAAGCTAATTAAGTATTTAAGGAAAACGTGAGAGAGCGGCCACCAGCAAGAGTTGGTGGCTGCACTCTGAGGCCACCAAAAAGTTTGTCCCGAGAACCCCTGTAATGGCAGTTTCTGAAAACCCCAGACTTTACTGAGCCTGGACAGTCACGATTTAAACCCGGCTATGAGCAGAACCTGCACCTGGTTATGTTAGGCTGTGAGCCTCTCCTGGCACTGGATGCAGATAGTGACCATGCCTCGGCAAGCAGCTTTTGATACCAAAGGCCCCGGGGTTCTCTTTCTGCAGACCCCAGGACCAGGAGGGATGGTTGGAATCATTTTTAGATGGTGGGGAGAGTGCTCCTTTACCCCACGACCACAAGGGGTTTTCTTTTTTCACCTCTTCTATTTCAGTCTTGAACAACCCCCAGCTTGCAGGGGAGTGGGGGATAAACTCCCTCCCCTTAGTCCCTTGCTTCAAGATAGGGCTCTGGTTTTGATGTTGACCTGTGGTGCCCACTCAGCAAAACGTACTTACGGTAGCTTCATGCAGGGCTCAGGTTTTGTCCCCAGCTCCACAGAGAACAGATGCTTCCTGTTTGGTTTATGGAGACTCATTATATCTAGTTCTGTGTCTTGTTCATTGGCCTTTTTAATCAGTCTCTTTATAACTTCAGAACAAACATTTCTTTGGAGCTGAAATTTAGCACAGTTGGCTTCCACCTGAGAGTGAATTATTTGCCTAGCACGGGGAAGGGCTGAGATTCTTTGAATTAGACACACACACAAACCTGCCCTTCCAAATTGCTGGGTGCTGCATACTTGTTTTTAAATTGCGCACTTTTTTGCTCTGCAGGAATCCCCGTAGGCTGGCCTGTTTCCATCCTCTCCTTCAGCACTGCCAGAGGAAAGTGTAAATGGTGCTGAGACAGATATTGCAACTACATGCTGTATCTATTTTTGGGAGGCTGTGGGGGGTGGGAGGTCATATTGTATTTTATGTTTAAAGTATGAACGCCTCAAAAATCATTATCTTGAGACAGGCCCATTCGTACCCCTTTGTACCAATACAGATGACAGGTATTTATGTGCTCCTGGTTCACTGTGGGGAGGTGCGTTTCCTGCAGAATCTGCAGTCACTAGTGGGTGATTAATGCAAAATCCCCCCATAGGTCACAATTTCAGGGAACTGTGCCTTTGACCTTCCTGCTGCCGGGGTCTGTTCTAGGAATGCCCGTTCAGGTCTAAGGCCTCTAGCCATTACCTCTCTTGGGGCAGGACTGGCTCCCTGCGACACAGCTTTGGTAGCCTGACCCCTGGGGAATAGGAGAAGGGATGTGGGTCCCTGCCCTTAGAGAAATGAAGGCTAGAGGCCTCAGACCTGAATGGATATTCGTAGAGCTGACCACAGAGACGGTCAAAGGTGCAGTTGCCTCAGAACTGTGACAGGCTCCACAGAGGTGCTTGAGCCTCCCTTCCCAATGAGGGGAATGGTCCATGCACAGATAGTCCTGGTGCTTAACTCTCAGCTACTCCAGTTTAAATCGAGAGTGATTCAGTTGAAGTCACTGAAGTTAGACAGGTGAGAAACACGTCTGAGAGGCAACTCGAGCCTAGAATCGTTTTAATGACGAATGCATGGTTTCTCCCGGAGATGAATCTGGAAATGTGAGCTGCAAATGAATTTAAGTATGTTTGAAACTGACAGCCATATAGTTGTCATAAGTATATTAGATAATGGCCATTTGGGGCTATTTAGGATTGCAATAAGCAAACCTAGTGGTAACAGGATGTTTGAGTAGTACAGGAAAATGCATTTTACTTCTCTGGGTAGCCACTGTAGAGTCCTATGAGTGGTGAAAACCCATTATAATTCACGTGAAAAATCCCTCTTAGTAAACTAAAAGGTTTGGGGAAAAAGGCAAAATTGCCTTTGATACACTGACCGCATATTTGCCAAATATAAATTATCTCCCACCCCTCCAAAAGCCTTTGAATCATTGATTTATCTTTATGAAGTAGTTTTTTTGGAAAATTAATTAGAAGCAAATTTAAAATGTATAATTATTTAGAGGAATAGCAGTAATGTGGCTCATGAACATTTGTGCTGGAAAGAGTAAAATATGTCTGTTGTAGTATGATAATTGGGACTGGAGAAAGAGGGTCAGTTTTCAGGAGGGACTTAATTTGGTGAGCCAGCCGAGGTGCAGGACTGCAAGTTGGGGGCCAGGCTGCAGCCACCGGCAGCTCTTTCTTCATGCAGCATGGGCTTCTCTGCATACTCAGTATAGCTCTACAATTCTACCTGCCTGCTCGGAGCAGGGAGCTTGACCTTCGCTCTCATGCTCCTGGGGGGCCCTAACCACTGGACTACAGCATCTTTCCTACTCTCTCGGGTTCAATCACTCATCATTTATCTACAATGGAACAGCTTCAAGAGCATAGTTCAGTAGTTATAGCATACAGAGCTGGGAGACCCCTGTTCAAATCCACTCTCCTTTTCTTAGGGTTACCATATTTAGTGCCTCCGAAAGGAGGACACTTTAAAGGGGCCCCAGCCCCGCCCCCAGCCCCGCCCCCTCCCCAAAAGTCTCCGCCCCCTCCCCTGCTTCCCGCGAACATTTGAGTCGCGGGAAGCCTGAAGCAGGTAAGGGGGGCTGTGGGGGGAGGAGGAGGCGCGGCCCACCCCCGG